ATCAAAGTAAGGATCAGATCAAGCCTAAATTCTGTATCTTCCAGATGTGTTTGTGTCTGTGACAAGCCCATTCCTCAGCTTAGGGAATCACTAGCTCTCCAATGAGGTCACGCCAGCAAGGCACACATATTTCCTGTAAGCCATTTTTACTTAAATTAGCAGGGTTTTACAGACACTGGCAATCTCATCCTTTAGCTCTTAACACGACTGGCTCCAGATGTCACTAAGAGATTCCTTCTATAGAATTCCTTGGTGGCATGTCTTAGTCACTGATTTATTTTCTTTTAGCTGCAAATTCACTTTTGAATTGCTGCTTTGTGGTAAGAGAGAGAATTCCACGAATGACTGCTCTCTTGGCAGGGCAGGTGCTAGTCTTTTCAGTAGAGGATATTGGAGGGGTACTAGGTGAGAAGTGGTTCTCCTACTGTGCCTGACTGCTGCACAGTAGGTCAGCAGTATAGGTAGCTTATGACTACATAGTTCCTTAGTGACCTTGCACCTTAGGTCTGAGGAATGTGATAACCCCTTTGGCATGGACACAGCTTGCGCCAGGCCTCCTTTTGACACTGTCACCTGCTCCTTCTGTAAGCATGGCTCCTCACTGCAGGCATGTGAGCCTGTACTCCATGGGCTGTTTCCTGCTTGACCTGAAAACTTCCTACCGTCCAGGAACTGCTACTGAATCTCCTTCAAGGACGTCTGAAGGACAGCCTCCCTTCACGTTTCCCCTTCTTGGATAGTCTCTCTCACCCCCAGGGGTTTCTTAGATCTGACAGGGTTTAAAAAGAAAAAAAAATTTTTTAAATCAGAGTTCAGCAATTTTTTCTATTCATCTCCTTTGTTTAAATCACTGTGTGGTTCTTATCTCTTAATTGGTCTTAGGCTAACACAACATATTTCAAACTTATAGCTGTCAGTAGGAGAAAAAAAAAGATAAGGAATCAAAGTTCCAGTGATAAAGTAAGAAAAAAAAATCAGAACTTCTTAGCACACGGCCATATAGTCAATTACCAAATAGACTGTTGCACACTCTAACACTGCACATATTTCATCTGACAGTCAGCTTCGTGACAAATTTATGGACCACAAGCAAAAAGAAGGCACACAAATAATGACTCTCTTAGTACAAAAGCAGGGCAAACTAAAGACAATTGAAAACATCAGAGAAGCTATGTCTGTGATATTATACAGTCAACATTTATACTCACAGTAGCATAGCAAACGTGCTAGACTTTCTCCAACAGCAGCACACATACTTCAGCATTCAACTTACCATCAGCAAACTCCACAAAATGGTCCTAGATGACAAGAACAGGGTCTGGTCTTTTGACTAATGCATCTGGGCATGAACTGGTGATTCTGCCCTTCATTGTTGAAGAGGAAAAGGAGTGTTTGTCTTACCCCCACCTACTTCTTAGAAAGCTCACTAACTCACAGACATAAGTCAAGGTACAAAGGGGAAGAAAGGCTCAAAGGCTAGGGACATAGTTGCATGGTGGAAGTGCTTGGAGCCATGTATAAAGCCCTGGCACAACCCCAGCATGATACAACATCACATAGACACACAAACACACACATACACAGAATTAACATGGATTCTCAGGCCTTGGCTACAAACCTTATTTGGAGGCTTTTTTCCCCTTCTGCTATATAGTACAAATGACCATATGATACTAACTCCACAAGCAAATCACCAGAATGTAAATTATAACATACTGAAAATAGTATCAATAAAGAGCCCCTTGCCAAGTCACTAATGAGCGGTTGTTATTAATGGGAAAACCGACCTTGACCAACATCTACCTTCCTGACAGGAAGTCTCCTGAGGTAGACAACCCCTCCACGTCACTGTATGGGTCTGGCAGAATTCTTGCAGCTGTCTAGATTCCAGCGGTGTTTCTTTGCGCTCACTGCAGATGTAATTATTTGCACACTGGGGTTCAAGTGAAGCTGTACTAGGACAGCTGGTCACACTGGCCTCTTTCATTAACAGGCAGTATGGTGTCCTAGGTGAGTCCTGACTGGAGAAACTGTCTTGCTGTTGGTCAGAAGTTGTCCACAGGTGTGAATGCTATAGTCATTGGAGCAGCTAAAATCCTGTTTGCAGAGCCACCTTTTGGATGGCTTGCCAATATTCTGTTCCTCATCCGTGATTAGGATGCTGGAATGGTAATAAACACTTACTAGGAAAGCTGTGGGATTACACAGGTTCCCATGCTGTCGCATCTTGTCACCCTAGCTAGTGCCCATACTTCTGAGAGCACTTCAAGAATGATTTATCACAAAGATGGGAGGCGAGACAGGAGAGGGTATGCCCTCTTGCTGCCAAACTGCTGGCCTTCAGGCACGATGACATCTTTGGCATCTGCCATGGAGCCATGCTTTGGACTGCCCCAGACCCCAAGTCCTTGAAATCTACTAATGAGTGACATGAAACAGGTCAGCAGGGAGAAAACTCTGAGAATTTAAGCAGATGAAAGAAGTGGGGTCATAAAATTTATAACATAAAGTTGATTAACAAGAATAATATTTATATTGACCATGTTACTCTGTTCACACAAGAAAGGAAAATTGTACACAGGTACATAGCTCGTTCACCCAGCAGATTATGGGCCCCAAAGGAACAGGACTTGGAACTCAATAGAATGCAGACGGCTGGTGTCTCTCAGGCTTGCAAGAACTATTCAGCTAATTCGCTCTCACTACAGGGAAGATTCCCAAAGAAATAGAAAGAATAGAAAAAAATGGTAAGAGGACTATAGGTTTACCTCAAAATTAGTATTCTAAGAAAATAGCAGAAGGTACTTTAAAACCCTGGGCAGGTTTGTTTTAATCTCTGGTACACAGCCAAAAAAGAAATATCTAAAAGGCAGATTATCCATACACTTTCTTTTCTTTTTCTTTTCTTTTTTTTAACTTTGTAAATAACAGGAATTGAGGGCTATGCCCCAGGAACATTCACCACAGTTCTGAAGATTATAGCTGGCATCTCTATGAGTCACTACATCCCCCACTTGAAAATAGAAAATACAAAACGCCACTGTGACCTAATTCAGACACAGGGCAACTCCAGACATGAGCTCTGTGAGATGACGGGAAACAGGAGGCTTCAGAGAGAGAGATGTCACACATTCTGACAACACATGGCACTGCCAATGTCCAGGACAAGACACTTTCTTCACTACAAAATATGCTTCAAGCTACAGGGGCAAACAGCAGAATAAAAAAGTCATTTTGGCAGCTGTATCAGAAAATCATGTTTCCAAAGATGTGTGCAGTTTCTTTCAGTATTAAAAATGAAGGAAGAATTTTATCAAGACCTGAAAATATTTCAGATGTATTTATTTTTCTATTGTAAATTCAGGCAAAAAGAGTGATAAAGAGCAGCGCTGTCCAGCTGGGAAATAATGGAAACCTCATATGAAACCTAAACTATCCCAGTGGCTACATTTAAGGGAACAAGTAATCATTTTAATATTTGATTTAATATATTCAGTATATTTTAATGTATAAACAATACAAAAATTACCCACAAGCTCATCTGAATATTTACAATAAATATAAAATCTGAAATATCTTTATACTTAAACCATGTCACAAACCCAAGTAGGTACATTTCAAAGGCTCAGTGACTCATGGGGCTTGCTGGTATGGCAGACAGCAGCATCCTGAACTACAGAGCTTCATTCTGTTGAATACTGGTGAATATCAACACTTACTTTAAAGTGTCTTCAGGGGAAGGCTTGGATATAAGGATTTTTATTATGGGGCCCTATATTATGTAAATAGTGTAGAGATCTGTTTTATAATGAGTTCTTAATTTTTATTCTATTTATGATCACAGGTTTTTTGACTTTAAAATGTCAGTGTCCAGTCTACTGAAACTGTTCCTTAGAAGGAAGAGAAGCCTGCATTCCAGTTCCCATACATGGAAACGGTTGCCACTGCCATTCACTGGGTTACGCTCAGCACCGCCTAGATCTTTACTCAGCCTGGGACTGACTATCCAAGTCTGAGCTCAAGCTCAATACAACCCTGTCACTTAGCGGTGACTTTTCTGCTGTTCTTTTAAGTGTCACACCATGCTTAGCCCATGGCTTCATGTCCACTGTATGTTGACATCCTAAGCAAACAGGCATGCATGAGCATTATTTCTTTTGGTGAAATCTGGTAAAGCAAACTGAATCAGAGCATAAATCCCATGGCTTTCCTGCCAAACAACAAAATGACGAATGAGCCTTACGACGCCTTCAGAGATGAAAGCCTCCTAGAGACATCCTCGAGCACATCTCATGGCTGACGGAGAGGCTGCCAATCAACATATTTACCTTTATTTCCTAAAAACAGAATAAACATTGACGTGCACTTCACATTTCTGGAAAAAGCCTCAGAGGATGGTTTATTCCTGGTTTCTCTTCAGGAACTGACTCATGGGCTAGAAGTACGTCTCGGAGGTAGAATGTTTACTTAGTATACGCAAGGTCCTGAGTTCAACCCCCAGCGATGCCAACAGAACATTCAATAACTAAAAACATATCAAAATATCCAAGCAGCAGAGAAGTTTGGCACAGGAATCCCACAATAAACATGTTCAATTTACTAATGATTAAAAAAAAAAGCCAAATGAAACCACAAGATACCATTTTACATTATACGCTTGGTACAAATTTGTCTAACAATCACACAGGTTGTTCATGATTTGTAGTTCTAAAAATGCTAGCATTCTGGTGGGAGTTATAAACCAGTGCCATAGCTGGAGAAAGCAATCTGTCACTGTCCTTAAAGCTAATGTATGCTTTCTGTACAGCCAGCAGTACTACTTAAGGTGTGTCTCCACTGCGGTGTAAGACGTCTCCTACTTACACCAGAAGTCAAATGAGAGAATATTCACAGCAATGTTCAACTGTCAGCAACTGGAGAAAAAGATGCTATATATTCACATAGTAGAATAATGCTTAACAATGAATGTTTCCACTGCAAGAAGCAAAAATAAAACTGTATCTGGTTTAACTCTGTTTATTTTTCTTTAAGAATACATACATGGAGACAAAAACGCTTAAGGGCAGGAAGGCTTTCGATCCACACAAATACAGGGTGAGGCTTTCTCTATTCAACAGGGAGAAAGAGAAGGTCAGGAAAGGGCACATGGGGTGCCTCGGGAGAAAGGCAGTAAGGCAGGCAGGAGGCATACGGGGTTATTATTATTACTCTTTATACTTCAGTAGAAATGTATGTATATATGCAGATAGTCCATTGCATGATCTAACAGGTCAGGATGGTTTTAGTAAGAAAAAAAAAATTAACCTTTCTGACAATGAGCTATACCAATGCAGACAACTTACCTGGCCTGCCACTGACTGTGGCTGTACCCTCTACCCTCATTTGCTGGCCTCATCCTATTGTGCTGCTCAGACAGGACCCATCACATTGTGAGGGCTTAATTCATGCTGGCAGGAAAGACAGTGTGCTAACGTGGCCTGTGTGTCTAGAACTAGGAAGCCCTCCCCTTGGAATCTGGGTCACAAACAGGCAGGGCTCTCTGCTGATTTGGTTTCATGAGCGGACATGTTTTTGCCAGCTTATAGTTTGGTTGCTTTTGACCTCTTCCTCCACCCTCCATCTGTCCTGGAGTTTAAGTTCTGCAGCTGTTTCTTGGTGAGTTCAGCCTTAGCCTCTGGCTTCAGAAATGTTTTCTTCTGCTAAGGAAGCTCAAGAGTGAGAAGTTGTGGCCACCTCTACTGGTTTCTGCAACCAGTGTAGGACAAACCGCTAGTGGTTCAGTGTGCCTGGGAGAGCACATGCTACACCTAGGCCAGCTGCTGAGTAACCCCACCTTAGTCCTGGGTGGCCAGAGAGGGGTCTGTTCTCCTCCCAGTGTGCCCAGGCAAAACCACATTCTCTCCAGTGAGTCACTGCAGGAACTCTGTGCTTGTAACTGTTTAACCCTTTCACGGATGGGAGTAGAAACACAGCTTCCTAGCACAACAGGAAGGAACCAGCTAACTCCAGAATAAAAGCTGGAAAAGGAGAGAGAATGGGAACAAACAACTCCAGTTTTATAATGCATGTTTTTTGGAATTTATTCTCCTTTAATGCAGAATAAAAAATCAGAGATTTCACCAATGCCTTGAGAGACAAACACAAACAAACTGAGGTAAAAAACAAAACAAATAAACAAACAAAAAACCCATTTACACAGACTGAAGTAGACCCAGACACTTGGGGACAAGACTATATAAAAGCTATTTCTATAAAAAAACCAAACCCCACAATAAAATCAAACAAACCAAACAAAATATAAAAAGCCTTTGGTACCTTTCAATAACAAAAGAAAAACATATTCAGATGGTTAAATTCATACAATATGAAAATGTAAATATTGGGTTAACTTTATAAAGCAGGAAAAGAAAGCCTAAAATAATATTAGCATCTAAGGGCAAAATATTTCCTTTTTCTCTTTGATTTTAACAAACCCCCAGAATTTGGCAAAGTATTTCCTGAACTAAATTGTCTTCTGGTCTGTAGATACCTAGCAGTATGGTATTTCACGCTCAGCTAATGTTCAAATGGCACCGTCTGGTCAGCAGCAGCACAATCCCTTTGTCCCACAGGCCGACAGGAAGTCAACACTATGCCTTGAGAGCCACTGGCATTACAGTCATGCTTGCATTTCTTTCCCAGGCTTTGAAGATGGTGGTGACCCAGTCTAAAGGCAAGCTAATTAAAGGGAATCAGAAGAACTATTTCAGCAAGTAAGTGATCCTAACACTTGGGAGGCAGAAGCAGAAGTGAGGTCTAGGTCTACATAGCAAGAATCTCTCAAACAACAACAAAAAGAAAGAGGGAAAGAAAGAAGGAAAGGAGAGAAGTCAGTCAGACAGGCAGACTGGAAATCATATGAGACCCAGCATGCTCTGCACACACTGTTGTCTGGGAACTGTGGTTGACTCCATACTGGCCTTCTGGACACTAAAACAAGTCACTACCTCTCATCTCATTTTTCTTGGCTGACTTCCCAGTGCTCCCAGAAGAATCATGGCAAGGAAACGATATGCAACTGTGATAGCGATTTTAAGAAGACCATCTATCCAGTGTGTTTAACACTTAACACAGTCATAGTAGGTATGGTATGGACAATTAAAAAGTTGTATGACACATCGTGGTCGCTTTCTCTGTCTCCTCAACATTGTAAGGTTATTGCTCCTACAATGTAAAACATGCTAAGACTTCACTTTGCCAAACTGGTTCTTGGCACTCACTGGCAAGAGTAGACTCAATGTAAGTAAGTGGATCAATGTAACCTGGGTTGATTTCACAAAGAATTTAAAAAAATCACTCTATTTTAAATAGAAATGTGTCGTGTCAGAAGACTCACAAATTCACGCACAACATCCAGTTGGAGAGGGAAAACAAAACATAAAACTCTGGAAACTCCCTGGGATTTATCAAATGGAATTTTGCTTGGATCTTGTTTAATGCCAACTAGCCACTAATACTATAACCTGACAAGCTTTCCTTGGAAAGGAAATTGTGCAGCAATCATTTGGTCCATTCTTAAAGAAAGCTGTCTACCTTTCTCCTTGATGCAACAGGACTCCAACAAGATCTCAGCTTCAGCATTTAAAAAATACTGCAGAACAGCCCACATTTAGCAAATCTTGGTATGGGGGTAGGTAACAGAAAGGGCTGCTTGTTTGATCTTTCAATTTCTCAAATATTTCCTTCTCAGAATCAGAGCGAAAGGCCCAGCACCATGCTGCTAGGGCTAGGTGGAGATTTCAGTCAGCCCTTTATCCTATTCAAGGTGATCCCTATGTGTGAAATTAACTCTAGATATACCAGGATACAGAAAATAATCTCTGCTCCGGTGAAATCGAACTTCAGTGTTCACCAGTGTTCACCCAGAAGGAGCAGGGACTTCGCCTAAGAACCATTCTGGACCATGCTCTAGACAGCCCCTGCCTGTCTGTGCTGCTCTGAAATCTCGCTTGTGCTCCTACATCAAGCAAGTATGTGTGTCTGTGTTATTCTGAAAAGCCTAAGACTGTGAAGTGAAGTATGAACTAGGAGGGTAGAGACAAAGGTAGGTGACATGGGAAGTCACAGTAGACAGCAATCTGGGTGTCTCTTCCTTTCCAGTGTCCTGGAGCTGACTGCAGAATCTGTGTGTGCTGAGCAAATGTCCTACCACTGAGTCCTAGCCCCAGCAGGACTGGCGTCAATGGTTCATAAAATATATCTAACCAAGCATTTCTTTTCTCCAAAAATATAATACCTTCACAAAATAGAACGAGCAGCTGTTACTTTGGGGAGCTGTATTTAAAAATATATGTGCATGTGTGTGTAAGCAAACTACAAGAGCTGAAAACGCCTTTGCATACTGACAGAGCAGACTCTATTCACTTACTATATGTAAGTGGTGCACTTCTTAAAATATATCTCTCAAGTAGTCTTATGCAAATAGTGAAACTTTCCCCTTACAAGAGATAAAGAAGGAGACACTTGCCAAAACAGCAATTCTTTTCTGCCCTGTAACTTGGCTATGATCATTTGATATTGCAGTGGTGGTGTTGGAAGCACTTGGAGAAGCCTGGAGAATTAACGAGGGTGAGGGTTTCCATCAAAGAACAGAGTTGACTGCATCTAACTTTTCCAGCAGGCATTATTACAAAGTACCAGAGTAGTGACATTGACATTCGTGACTCTACAACAAGAACCCTCAGAGTCCTCTGTCAGCCAGCATTGCTTTCTTCTTTCGGATTCAATGACGTTACCATCCTGGCAAAATGGTTTCAAAGATGGGATGCAGGCAGCTTAGAGAGGAATGGGATTCTGCAAGACCGGTTTCTAATAAAACATAGGGCAGGTCCAGTGTTTTCTCCCTGACAGTGCCGCCCAATTATCTGTCAGTCATTAAGGAAGCTGACCTATCACCGGGGAGAGTACTTTCAGGTGAGTGAGGCAACTGCAGACAAATCAGAAAATAAAGAGAATCCACCACCATAGTCCTGATCGGCTCAGAGCAATCATGCAGTCCCCATTAGTCCCATGTCCTCCAAAGACACCTTCTCCAGGCCAGGCGAAGTTACTGATTATGTGTGTGGCTTTGTCACAGTGATGCATCAGGTAAGCAGGTGTGTGCTGAGTACCAGGGGATGCTCCAAAATGCAACTCCATCACCTTCTACTCTTTACCTTTAAGGTTCAGCCTATTGAACAGAAGAGGGGAAAGGCATGGTTATTACACTGCATTGGCAAGGACATTTGCCTTTGGCAGTGGTTTTTGTTTTTTAAATGTCAGGAACAGATATGAGAGAGGTTATAATGAGTTATATGTTACTCCTATGTTACTGATTCGAGTGTGTCTGGCTTTTAAGCCAGAGCCTCAATTTCAGTCATACCCACCCAACCTGCAAACAGGCAAAGAAAAACTCTATTTTTCAGTAGCCAGTTAAGTCTCCTTTGAACACGGCTGTGCTTTTTACTTGACAGTTGCTGGAGAATGAACCCCTTCCTCAGTCAGGGAATATCATGGAGGTCAGCCACTGCTGACTCCTGTCACTCCATGCTCCAGTCCGTCCTGTTATATCCACCTCTCTCCATTTTGACAGAAGTGGAAAACCTTAACTTTACATGTTAGCAATTTGTTTACCTTTTACTTTAAACAGTCCAATGCAAGACAAACAGTATGTCTCGAGCCAGTGTGGCTGTTAGGCCACTACTGAGAGATCTCTCTCCTTCTCCCTCTGTCTACTTTGGAGCACAGCTCAGTCAGAGTCAATACACTCCTGCCTCTGGGTTATCAACACACTCTCCTACCACCCTGTGAGGCAACTACAGATGTTAATGATGAGCTTCTGTGTTTGCCGGCTAGCTTCCGTTTATGTGTATATGGTGCAGGTGGCAGAGGGAGGACAAGGGTCACTTTGCTTTATCACATCTGTACCTACATTGTCCAAGTCTTAAACTACACACTTTATAATGAATTATAACCAACGTAAAAATAAGCAACAAACAGTGGGGGACGTTTACTAGCTGTCACATTTCCGTTTATCTCTGTGCTCTGTCCCAATGGCTCCTGCTCAGGAACTCTGTTCCCAGGCTTGAGGGACCAACTTCAAATGGACTAAGACCAGATATCACACTGATCACCCCATGATCCATGGATCCTGTATGGACTGTAACTTTCTTACAAATGCTAAAAAGAATATATTGTCTGATTCTATCACTGTTGTTTTGAGCCAGGGTTTCAAGCAGCCCAGTCTGGCCAAGGCCTTGCTATAGAACTGAGGAAGACCTTACATTTCTGGTTCCCACTCTCTATCTCCACAGTATTAAGAGTTACAGAGATGTCACACTATGCTCAGCTTGGTGCTCGGGACTGAACACATGATTTCATGCATGCTAAACAAGCACTGTAGTGACTGACCTCACCGTCTAAAGCAGAAGTTCTCACCCTTCCAAATACTTCGCCCCTGGACTAGTTCCTCATGTTGTGGTGACCTCCAACTGTAAGATTATTTTTGCTGCTACTTCATAGCTGATATGCAACCCTTGTAAAAGGGTCGGGCATTTGACTCTCCCAAAGGGGACATGACCTACAGATTGAGAACCACTGGTCTAAAGTCTAAAAACACCAGCCTGCTGAATCTCTAAAGAATCTGAGCCTTTGGAGAAAATAACAGAGATGGTGTGCACACAATATTTTCTATGATGTTTTGACACAGCCTGCTGGTTCCTGCCTCTGTAAGGTAACCCTTGCCCTAGGATTTCCCCACCACACGCACTGCTCCAACAGCCAGTTCTCTGAAGGAAAATCTGGACTGTTTCACATCTTTGGGTGAAATATTTTATACAAATAGTAATTTTCCTAACAAATATTCAAATGTCTCACTTGTATAAAAATAGTTTGAAGAACCTGTAAATACTTTCTGTGTGGGTGTGCCTCTGCTAAAAAACGTGTGCATAGGAACCACCCACAAGCCATCTGCCGGCCTGAGATGTAAAACAAAGCATGTTTTCACGGTGGAGGCTCTGCTGCAGGTGCTGCTGCTGTTGCAGGGTTTCTATTACTGCAAGCCTCTGCCTCCTTACACAAGGGCGGTACCTATCGCAGGCAGCCTTAGAGGACCTGCTACTTAGACAAAGTGTCCAGAATCACTGCAGGTTCAGCTGAATTAAAATTGACACTTTAGAACTCAGCCCCAGCTTGAGCTATATAGCCTAGCCTCAAATACTATGTATATGAGGATTGGAAGGCACACTGGAAAAGGGTCAACGTGGTTGGCTCTGGGTAGTGGTTTTAATATTCTATTTTACACATTTTTACAGAAAATAAGCCTTACTTTTCTAGTCACAAAACTAGTCTTTTTAAGGCCAGCCTGGTCTACAGAGTGAGTTCCAGGACAGCCAGGACTACACAGAGAAACCCTGTATTGAAAAAACAACAACAAAAAATCTAGTCTTTTTAAATGAAATAACCACACTAGTAACTTACTTGGTAGGGATCTTTTTTATTTTTAAAGTAAATCTTGTGTTTTATATGGCTGTGAAAAGATCCATTATTCCTAAGTCTTTACACAAGACAGACTCAGTTCTTCACATTTCCCAAAAGATATGACTTGATAAAGAGGCTTTAAAAACATTCAGATTGGATTAGGAACTGCGACATCTCTTTCGGGTCTGATTCCAGAGATGCCTCTTAAATGTGGCTCTGTTTCTGACATTTCATAAAGCTGCCGCCCCTTGGCATCTGTGGGTGATCCATCGCAAGTCCTCAGCAGGACCTCAGATTCTCTAGTCTCTCCAGCACCCCCTCCCCAAGCCCCATGGTTCGAAGCATCCCCAGGTGACTGAGATGCTTTGAACAAGACATCTATGCAAACAGATATTATGCTGTACTACTTAAGAAAAATAAGGACAGGAAAGCCCAGTGCTTGGCAAAGGCAAGGAGGATCTCTGTGAGTTCAAGGCTAGCCCAACAGACATAAGTTCTAAGACAGTCAGACATAGAAAAGCACTGTCTCAAAAGAATGCCTTTAATCCCAGCATTCAGAAGACAGAGGCTGGTGGATCTCTGTGAGATCCAGGTTATCCTGGTCTGAGAGTGCTAGACAGCCAGGACTACACAGAGAAGCCCTGTCTCAAAAAACAACAAAACAAACAGAAATAAGGAGAAAGCTGTACATGTTCAGTACAGATGTGATTTTCCCCCCAAATATTTTCAATATTTTGCAAATATTATCTGTGATCAAACAAATCATAAATGTAAGAGGTAGAGACATGGGGGTAAAACATAATGCGAATTTATAATTTAAATAAAACCTAGCTACCTATTTTGCTACCTTAAATTCCTCTTCAAAGAACAGTGCTATAAATTAAAAGTAAACTAATATTTTGATTTAAAGAAGTTAAAAATTTTGAGTGTAACACAGCAGCCTATATATATACCCGAGAGACTGAAAATTCAGTAGGGCAGATATACACACCTCTCACCCATTCAACCTCAGTCCCTAAGGTCTGCTCCAGCAAGATAAACTCTGAAGCAAGAGTCCAACGGGCTTACCTACCATACGTGCTGAAGCCCAGGAGGGTTTGTCTACCTTGAATACACAAGGTTAACCTACCTTGGACGCTGGCCGTGGCTTCAAGCCTAGGAATGAAAAGACTGTGTTGCTTTCCTTCGATTCAAAAAAACCATCATAGTCCTAGAAAAAGAGGAAAGGAGAATAAAGCCAGTGAGCGATGGCAAGCAGTTAGTTGTACAGTTGATGCTTTCAAAAACTCCTACATGGAAGAAAATGTACCACTGCCCTGTCAAAGCCAAAGAAGACCTGCATGCACCCACTGGATTCAGTGTGTTAGAGTTGAAAGGGCCCGTTGTAACAAGTCTTTTCTTTTTCTTGTTTTAAATCCAGAATTAGGACAGGATTTGGCAAAAGAAATAAAGGAGCAAACACCCCTTTTTCCTTGTATGTCAAACTAGAATTTATCTGCATGGACTCCCCATGACCTTAGATTATACCCTAGGCACTAATGAGGAAAGCCACATCTCAATGCCATGCTTGATACTTTACTATCCGAGACTTAAAGAAAAATCACTGGTCATCAGAAAGGTGACAAGGGTCTGCAGGAGTCCATCTTAGTGGAAGGCTTCTGCTCTGCCTTTGCAGCTCACTGTGGTAGGCTCTGAGAAAAGAAACACAGTGGCCAAGTGGGACAGCTACTGAGCAGGGAGCTGATGTCTGTCTGCAGCACCGCCCTTGACCTTCATGCTCTTTGTACTCTGTACAGCGTCAGCCCAGGAGGGAACTGGCCATGGTCCCATGCATCCTGGTCACTGGGCATGAGCTGAGCCAGTGTTATTATGGGGCTTTTAAGAACATCCAAAATCTAAATGAGTCCACAACTTGTAGAAGAAAGTCTTCGTCCTCAGAAAGTCTCATTTGATGAAAAATGTTTGGATGATCATCTTTGGTTCTGTGGACAGCCCCTAGCGTGAGTCTCATAGCTTTAGACGTAGCTCTGACTCTTACCTGCAGTCCTCTTGGCCCCAGATTTTACAGTGGCTACTCCTTCTGCTGCTTATGCACAAAACTAGAGTCACATATCTGAAGAGAATGGCTCCGTATGCTAAGCAGAAGTCTCCTGGATTAATAGTTTGGCATGCAAATGGCTGATATAAGGACATTGGGGAAGGGCAGCATGGGAAGGCAGGGAGTTGACAGGCTGCCTGTCAGCAGTTATGCTGGGTTTTATACAGTTTTTACCTTAAATACAAAGGAAGCTGTGTAACAGTTTTCAACAAGGGAATAAATGACGTCACTTCTACAATAACACTCAATAGGCACTGGAGAATGTCTCAGAAAAGGGGAGAGTTGAGAAAAGTAGAGAGAAACTTAAGGGGGCACTTGCTAATATAGACCAGCAGTGGTGCCAGCCAGCATCACAGTGGAGGTAACGGACAGGGCCGCAGGCAGGAGACGTGTCCCAGAGGTAGAAACCGAGGGCTGGGTTTGGATCCGACATGGAGATGATAGAGAAGTAAGGAGTCCAGTGGTTCTTGGCTGTACCATGATAGGAACCTGGAGTAGAGCTGAACACACTGTTTGAGAACACAAGACAACTGACGGAAGCAGAGCTTGACGAGGGGCTGAAGGTTGCTAGTGGCACCAGAACATTACACATTTTATTACAGAGCTGCCAAGCTTTGCTTAGATATCTTTTTGCTGAGCCTTTACTGAAATGTGAACACTGCTTCACTGATTCAGGCTCAACAGCCCTGGTCAGTGGGCATCCCCTTTGAGGACCCACTGACAACATCCTGCAGTCACTGGAGAAAATTCAATGATCTGACCCTTTCTCCATGTTCTGCCTCTGCTCTTCATACATTCTTTTCTGAGGGCATCTCCTCTATTGGAATTCACTTCCGGCTCTGATCTCTGCTACATTCCAGATCCATGGACTCATCAAACTGTTCAGCATGAGGAAACCTCAGTTCCCAGTCTTCAGTTTCAGAGAACAGCACCTCTCTAATGAGCACTGAGCACTGCACGTCTTACACAAGTGAGCACTGCAGGCCTTTTCTCTTCCCTCCACTACTTGACACATCCCGTAAGCCTCCTCAGTTTTCAGATTTGCCTTCAGCAGCCTAACCCCAGCTGGACATTAACCACAGAGCCTCATTATCACAGCCATTGCCTAATCCCACCCATTTCTACCCAATGTCATATTCTGTCAAGGGACACGCTGATTTTTAAAAAATCAATTGGACCCTACCACCCATGGTCACATCTCTTCTTGGGCACTTCTGGTGCTCATACAGCATGCCTGAGAAACTTAGCATGGCCTTGAAGGCTGTACATATCCTGACTCTGCCTAAGCCTTCAGCTGACAGTCTGGTAATCACAGATTCATTTCTAAGAGGCTTAGTCATGGATAATGTTGGGGATAATGCAACCTGTCAAGTCACAAACTTGACTGGCCCTTTACGCCTCTCCAGGTTTCTTTCCTACACCGCGTGCTACTGAAGTCCACTGAAATTACAGATTCCTAGGAAATAAAGGAGTAGCCACTGGAGCTGCTGGAAGCTGTCCAGGAGTAAGGCTCTGCCTGGGCGTGTTGTGGTTCCAGATGTCTACTGGAATAGTTGGCTACTCCCTTCTTTCTGCTTTTTAGAGAGGTCAGTAGCAACACGGAAACATTACATAAAAGAGTAAAAAGACTGGCAAGGGGATTTAATGTTTATACTTCAAGTTGTAATCTTTATAAACCTCAAAATGATCATAATTCCCCAAACCACAACTTTAAATGTAAAACAAACTTACATGCAATTTTCAAAAACAGCTAAAAATATTTAGAGGTAGGAAAAACATGCAACAGTACCAATAACCCATTTATCCATAATGAAATGAAGCTGTCCTTACAAGTGTTAGTCACCAACAAAGGTAATTGCAAATGTCAGATATTTAGACTTTCTAGACCTGGCTAGCCATCCAGACAGCCCAGAAAGCAATTCTTTAAGTCAGTATTTGGCTAGTACTGGATACATTTCAGATTACCAGTAAAACCTATGTCAAGTCAGCATATCAACTGTGTTAATTATTGACTAGTATGTCATGTGTTAGCATTTTGCCTGTTCTGAAACAGTACAAAAACATTTGCTTTCTGACATTCAAAGGCCTACCAAATCCTAAAGTATACAAAAATAAATATGTTTTTAGTCATGTTTGGATAAAACAAATTATTGAAAATTTAAAAATTAGAACATTTTAATTGTTTCATAGTCTTTTCGCACTTAAACAGTATGATGTGAAATCATTTAAGAGTACCACAGTCAGAATTTTAAAAAATAATTTCCTCTTAAAATATAGCTTCTTATAGTATGACCTTAGGCCATGTGTCCTAATGAATAAAATAGTTAATGCTTTCTTATCAAAGGCATTTCACTTGTCAAATTTTACATACATCTATGTATGTGTGTTTGTGTGTGTCTGTGTGTGCATGTGTTATGTGTATGTGTTTGTGTCAGAATCCCTCCCAAAGGTGAAAAGTATTATGCTTTACAAATTCACACAAAGCTTCTAAAACAGACCCACTGAATTCCCTACAGTTCAAGGCACCCTTTGAAGCCGCTGTCTGTAAACACACTCTGTAGACCGCACTGCACACTGCAGAATAATCTGCTCTGTGACTTCAGGCTCTAAAGATCAGTTAATACTGACTCTGCAAAGGGTGAAAATGCAGAAATCATATTCAAAGTGGACGTGCCTGGTTTCAACAGCCGATACATTTTTCATTACCTTTAAGATAAAGGATGGACGAAAAGTCACCGCTTCTGATGGCAATGGCTAGAGATGGGAGAAAAGGTTGGGCTTCACAGATCAAGCATAACTGGACACATCTCACACACCGAGGGGATGGTTTCCTAAATGCTTTTAAGAAGAGTGAGTCTAAAGAGCTGTGGAGGAATTTAAAGAAATGCAGGGGTAAAGAAAAAAGACTCAGGTAGCCTACACTTTTGTTTGCAGTCAAGTGAAAACTGATGTTGGAGACATTTATAGGCTCGTAATAAAATCTGCAGCAAGTAGCGTTAACAATAGCCTCTTTCTTCCACAAAGCCCAGCAAAGGACATTACCCTTCTGCTCTGATTAGGCCATTATGGACTACGCAGGCACTGGAGACAAAGATCTTCAAGTTCTTTGCCTTTTCAGTGTTCCCTAAGAGAGTAGTCAGGAAAGCCCACAGTGGCCACTCTGAGAGGTTGTGTGGTCTCCCCAGACTTAGCTAATGGCAAGTGAGAGATAGAGCCATATTTTTTCCATATGCCAAGGGCATAGGCAAACAGAGGGCTGCTGGGAACACAACACATGGGCAGGGGAACGGAGGCAGCAGTCGGTCTACATAAGTCAAAGGAAAAGCGGGCTTATTCCAAACAGAAGAAATTGTTTTAAAATCTGCCTTCTGAAGGCCACTGGAACTGCTGCTGCTTAAGACAGATGGAGGCTCCTGCTTAAACTTTCCTCTCAAGCCTGAGGGCAACCTCCAAGCAGAATTTCTAGATTTTTGGACTACAGGCTATTAATGCTATATTCTATTTTATGAAACTTTGATGTCGGATAAAAACAAAAAAAGCTGGCAGACCCAAATCTGGCAGGGTGGATAGGTAAGCTACAGCCATCTCAAAACAGCTCCAGTCAGCAATTCTTACGCTAGACACTAAGGATGTTCAGTTCTGAAATCATGTTTAATATTTCTGACCACACTGGTTCAGGATATAGTGTGGGCATGTGAGTCACAAACTGTCTTGTCTGGATGCCACCTGAAATGAGGAGGGGCCAGGGCAACAGGACAGAGTTGTGCTTAGGAAGGCGACCAGCAGTAAAATTTAATCACCACCTAAAATGTATAGCAAATTCAACTGGACTGGTAGAGAAAACACTGGGAAAAACTAAACCCCAAAGAACAGAGGTATAAGGCAGCCTCCTGCAGAAAATGAGCCTCGGAAGCTAACACGGTGCTGGGGGAGAGGGGGTAGAAAAAACAGACCAAAGCAGCACGAGGTGTACTTGCAAAGGCTAGGGGTAGTCCGTCTATCCTGGTGCTGCTGATAAAACTGGGATTCTCTGAAGAACATATACTAGGCTCCAGAAGTGGGAAAGGCCAGCGGGGTCACTCTGTACACTCAGGAGACAGAGAGATGGAGAG